GGGGGTGGAAATATTGAAAGAGAAAAGAGGGTGGGGACAACTGCCGCTAGGTAACATTTTCTAGATATGACAAGGAGCTGTATTCATAAAATCTCAACATATGGTTGCCCAAACAAACCCTTTGTGGTTACAATACCATCCACCATGTCAAGACAAATAAGGGAAATTTCACAAGGTCTCACTGCTAGACAACGAGTTAGAAATACCCAATGGTTACTGAGACAGGGAAACTCAGCCTACTCCAGGGATGACTTCTCTGTCAGGTTATCTAGTCCCAAGTGGTCAGCCTTAGACACATGTACATGACTGAAAAACAAAATGTGCTCAGTAAGTTTTTCATGTGAGGTAGAGGGAGTAGAAACAATTACAGAAGAAGGGGTCATAAACATGAGAAGGTATGGTAGACGTTGGAGTTCTAGAGAGGGAGGAGTGGAAATGATGAAAACACAACATTCAAGTGAGAAATTCTCAGAAAACAAAAAGATTAAGTTAAGAAAAAGAAAACAGGGCTCATATATTATAAAAATTTAAATAATCCAATATCTGTACAAAAAAGCATTCTAACTTAATATTTTATACATTCTGTGTGAATTGGATTTAAAATGAGCCATTTTTCAAGAATATATTATAAATATATTTATTGAAAATAGGATATTTCATATAATATATTCTGATCATGGTTCCTCTCCCCAGCCTCCTTGATCCTCCCCACTGATCCAACTCCACATCTTCTTTATGTCTCTAATATATATATATATATATATATTATACACACACACACACACATATATATATATATATATATATATTATTTTTACATATTATGTATACAGTGTTCTGTCTGCAAGCATGCTTACAAGCCAGAAGAGGGCACCAGATCTTATTACATATGGTTGTGAACCACAATATGGTTGCTGGGAATTTAACTCAGGATCTCTGGGAGAACAGCCAGTGCTCTTAACCTCTGAGCCATCTCTCCAGCCCTACAAAAATATTTTTGGAACATACTTGTACTTTCTCTTACACTAACATTATATATTAATTTGTTTATTGTGGGTCTATAATATGCAGAGCTTTTCTTTGAATCCCCTTGTAGCCCTGACCTTGAGCGGTGCTTAGGATATAATAAGTAGTCAATAAATATAAAAGAAACTGGGGTTCTAGTCTTTTCTGTACAAGGTAAAAGCATGACACTAAAATTAGTATACAGTGATCTAATTTTATGGCCACCTATGCTTCTAGTAGACTTCATTATGAAATGTTTGTCCCATTCACTAGGATCCTTTACTTACATGGCCATTAGCACTTGTCATTGGTGACTGGACAATTGTTGGGCACCAGACCTAAGGTGGGCCAATCATAAATTCTCCCACTAGCCTACTCCAGGGATAAGTTTCCTGACAGGTTACCTACTCCCAAGTGGTCAGCCTTAGACACATGTACATAACTGAAAAAACAAAATGGGCTCAGTAGATTTTCCATGTGAGGTAGAGGGGGTAGAAACAATTACAGAAGAAGAGGCCATAAACTTGAGAAGAGTATGGCAGAAGTTGGAGTTCTAGAGAGGGAGAAGTAGAAATGATGTAAATACGACATTTAAGTGAGAAATTCTCAGAAAAGACAATAGGATTAAATTAAGAAAAATAAAACTGAATCCATATGTTATGATAATTTAAATAATCCAATATCTCTACAAAAAGTATTTTAACTTAATTTTTATATTTTTTGATGCTGAGTGAATTGGATCTAAAATGAGCTATTTTTTTAAAAGAATATATGTGCTAAATCTTTTATTGAAAATAATATATTTCCTACAATATACTCTGATCATGGTTCCTCTTCCCACCTCCTCCTTGATCTTCCCCACCAAGCTAGCTCCACATCTTCTTTCTCTCTACAAAAATATTTTTGAAACATACTTAAGCCGGGCAGTGGTGACACATGCCTTTAATCCCAGCACTAGGGAGGCAGAGGCAGGCAAATCTCTGTGAGTTCGAGGCCAGTATGGTCTACAAGAACTAGTTTCAGGACAGCTTCCAACGCTTCAGAGAAACCCTGTCTCAAAACACCAACAATAAAGAAAAAAAAAACTTGTACTTTCTCTTACACTATCATTATATATTAATTTGTATATTGTGGACCTATAATATGCAGAGATTTTCTTTGGATCCCCTTTTAACCCTGACCTTGAGGGAAGCTTAGGATGCAATAAGTAGTCAATAAAGGTGAAAGAACACTGGGGCTCTAGTCTTTTCTGTACAAGATAAAAGCATGGCAGTAAAATCAATATACAGTGATCTAATTTTATGGACACCTATGCTTCTAGTAGACTCCTTTATGGGATGTTTGCCCCATTCACTAGGATCCTTCACTTATGCTGGCAGAGGAACAACATGGCCATTAGCACTTGTCATTGGTTACTGGACAATTGTTGGACACCAGACCCAAGATGGGCCAATTATAAATTCTCCCACTAGGTTTTGGGATTAAAATCAAAGAGAAAGACAAATCTGATGTGACCATCCCTCACAATAACCTTGATGGTGAACACTGTGTTCCAGTAACCAACAAGAATATTAGAAACAAACCACAAATATAGCAGCAACTACTCAAGGATGCAGGCTGTTGGCACAGACACCATCTTTAATGTTGCCATCACCTTGCCCAGTATGAAGTTTCAGAGAACCTCACACTGGAAAAGAACTGTTCAACCAAAGGCCACTTTTCATCTTCTCTATAAGTCCATGGTCAGACAGTCTCCCACATCACCCACTCCTCCCCCCTCCACACACCTCCCTTTAGTCAAACAATGACAAAATAGATGTCCAAAGCAACTCAAAGTCAAGATATGAAAAATTAATCATGTCAGGTCCGTACTGTTTTTCAGGTTCTATTTTTATTTTATATCGGGGAACATCTATATCTGACTGTTGGACTTCCAATCAACCATTGTGCATGAACAACACTAACAATAGCCCTTTGTCTTTCAAATGGAGACGTTTGATGGACCAATTGATGACAAGCTTGGAGCTCATGGGAAAGTTCTGGGTTGTCAGTGTGGACCTGAGATTTATCTGCTTACTGATAACAATTAAATACATGGAACTGGATGAACTCACCCAGAGAGAGATTTTAGACAAAAGTGGGGGGCAAGGAGATTGCTGCATGATACCAGGTGGTCAGAGAATGAGAAGGAATCTGGAAGTGTTTCCCATTACATCATCAGGACTGAGATTCCATGATTTTCTAGTGGTCCCACTTAATTTTTCTTATGTCATCCCAGGATTGCCTGCTTGCCCACAAGAGAACAAAGATCTACCTCTCTTGTTCCTGGTATTCAGAACAGTATCTACATGGATGGTAGGTCCACCCATGACCTACCAAATAATCCATATTCTTATGACACTAAAATTTAAGAAGTACTAATAAATAATACAAGAGGGGGGCTTCATTCCAAAAATCTCTAGACCTTCAAATAAGTGAATGATACATATGGAGTTGAACATTACTTAAATTTGTAAAAGGCTGATTTACATGGAATCTCATTTTAATGGGAGCTGGAAATTGATGTTAAACAAAAAAAGCATCCAAACAAAAAAAGAGGTACATATATTCATTGTATCATTCACTTTTCATGTCTGTGCCAAAATACATAAATAAATTTTAGGTAGGCATGGTGATATACACCTTTAATCCCAGCACTTGAGAGGCAGAGACAAGCAGACCTCTGTGAGTTTGGGGCCAGCTTAGAGTGCAAAAATAAACAACAACAACTACAACAACTTATTCTGCCTCACAGATTGAGAGATCTTTGTCCACTTCTTCTGCCTGAGTGAGGTACAGGTCTGTCCTAAAAGTAGAAGGCCCAGAGAAGACATGAGGAACAACTGAGGAGTCGCTGCCAGCAACCTGAGCCTGGCTGTCCCAACTGACGTTGAGCCTGTTACTCAGTTTCTCCACATCTCATTTTACCGTGTGGGTGAATAGACATAATCCTGAGTATCTATAAGGTCAGAAGAGATGTAGTCAATTTAAAGGCTGACCTCTCAGTTATTCCTGGCACAAGTTCAGTGACATCAGAGACATAAATCACCAGAGATAATGCACTACAGTGCATGTGCAAAAATTAAAAGAAATTTTACATTAATGTGTCAATGCTTTCTGTTACATGGCCTGTGGATGGGAGAAGGATGGTACAGATTCCCAAAGAGATTTGAAGCCGGGAGATGGAGAGACTTGTACCCGGGCTTCCTCTTTATTTTGTGTTGACTTTGGATGCATCCGGTTGGAGAGGAGAGGTAGGTCAGTAGACCTGAGCGGCTTCATATAAATATAGCTTGGCAGTTTATATTCCACAGCTGGCTGGAATACAAGGATAAAGCTTTGTGTCCACGTGTAGATGATAATTATTTTTTTTTGTTTGTTTGTTTTGTCTCTAAGTTCCAAGTTACTTCTGGATTTAATACTGCCATATAGGCGACGCTGCTTTTTCAGAGTAGAAATACACTGATCGCCTACAATGTACCCAGCGCCGAGGATAATATGGTCTTGGAGTTTGTTTGTATTAAGTTGAAAGAGCCTCTTGGACAGTCGCGTTGTCCTAAAGTGCAGAGCATCTGAAGCGGAATACTACCGCTAAGGTTAACTGAGAGTCAGCTTTCCTGAGTTCATGAGGAAGGGAAGGAACGCAACTGGTAATGGAAGAAAGGAAAGGGGAGCAGATGTGGAGAACAAACAAAAAGATGTCGGGGGAGAGGAAAATCTAGTTTATCAAAAAGCGACAAAGAACAGAAAGCGGGGTAAAGTTCAAATGAAATAAGGTAAACTTTTCATGTGCTCCCAGCGGCCTCGCTGGGCAGGAACCACCTAACCAAGCTGTTATTAAAATTCCCACTCGCGAGCCTCGCTCACAAAGCATTTTATGGGGGCCAACTTCCGGACAGGAGCGGCGCAGTGTTGTGACGTCGCGTCAGGCCGGGACTTCCGGTTTTGACGAAGTCTTGCCAGGCACTTGCGGACAGGCGCGCACACCTTGCCAGGGGACAGGTGAGGTGCTGCTACCCGCCGCGTGGGTTTTTTTTTTTTTTTTTTTGCCCGAGGAAGGTCAGGCGTACTGGCGGGGGGCGGTTCCAGGATAACGGAGCTGCCATCATCCGTGTGCAGAGCCGGCGAGCTGGGCCGAGAGGAAGGCGATGGAAATGAACGCAACCCACTGCGGCAAGGTCGCCAGCGGCTCCCCGCGAAAGGATGAGCCCATGTGTCCTTAGCCAGCCCGCTAGAAATGAGTCATTGTGCCCTGGGGCTGCCCACGCATCTGAGGTCCACCACAGTGCTTTTCATGAACTCTTCCTGCCTTAGTTGCAAACTCACTTTCGGCCCCCTACCACTCACCCCTCACAGAATACAGGTTGAGACACTTCTTTCATGACTTCTAATTTATCTCTTCCCTTCCAAGTTTTTACTCATTATCTGTTTTCTGCCCTGTATGCTACACAGTGGGAGAAATTACAGTCTACCGTTGAGCCCACCCTCCTTCTTTGCCTTTTTAAAAGCATAGCTGGGGTGGCGCCGCAACCAAAGAGACCTGGGGAAGTAGAAAAATCTCTAGTGTTTAGTCACAAAGGTTTGTTTAAAACAAAAGTTTGGAACCGTGAGCGGGAGTGTTTGGTGTCTGTTGAATGCTTTCTTGTTTTCATATGAAGTTGAAAGGCCTTCCCGTCCCTGTGGTTTCTCCTGAGAAATCCACATGATGTGTTGTTGTTCTCTGGATGATTTTAAGATTTTTTTTTGTTTTTAGTTTTCCAAAATGCATCTTTGGCACGCCTTGCATTTCTGTCCATTTTTCCAGTCTGAGGTTTGCTTGGCTTCTTGAATCTGTAGATCTATGTCTTTCTCAAATTTGGGGAGTTTCTAGGTACTGTTTCTTCAAGTGGCTCTATCAGCCCCACACTGTCACCTGTGGAAATGTGACTGTGAATTTTAGGTTGTCACTGTAGTACCAGTCCCTGATCTATTGCTGTTTTTGGACTATTTCCCACCACTTCAAGTCCATTAACTCTGTCACTCTAGCCAAGTTCTCTCATCTTGTCCGTTGGTTCTGCTCTGCAGTTGATCCCACCATGCAGTTAATTGTTACTTCTCAACCCCTTGCTCTTGTTTCTTACATAGCATTCTTTTGGTAGCTTCCAAACTTCAGTTTTCTCTTTCATTTTTCTGTTCTGTCTTCTTGTAAGAATACTTTAATCAACTCCTTTCTCACTTTTGGAAACTGTTATGTTCCTGGTGCCTTCAACACTTTCACAAACTGCTTTGATGAAGGTGGGATGTTAGTAGGTAGGAGAGACTGGTAAGATCACTTTCTGAGATGTGCTATGGTATACTTGTCTCTTAAAGGTTCAAAACGTTTATTGGTATGTTGTGAACTAATGCTGCATGACTAGTGAGGTGAGGTCCTAAGAGGTGAGACAACTTTAATCTTGTCCTCAGGAGACACTTGGGTTTGGATATCAGCCTACTTGCATTGCAAAAGCTTATTAAAGTATATCATGTGGAAAGCTTAGATAGGGATGATATGTTCTGGTCTTCCAAATCAACAACTTATTTATTGTTTTGGAGCAACCATTGTAAGTTACTTCCTGATGACTCCTGTTCCAGGGAGCAAGTCAATGCCATCTGTTGATTATCTTAGTTAATTGGACAAGACTGACCTTGCTCTACCTTTTTAGAACTACTAACCCACAATATCTGTTAGGATATTAGCTATTGTGTGGGAAATAAGATTTTGAGACACAATATAGGATGATTGATGTTTAGGGAGAAATCACTTACACCAGACAGATGACCGCTGGTTACTGCTCCAGGGATGCCCCGGATGCTGTCTGTCTCCGACCAGTAAGTAAGAGAGCAAGTTGGGGTCTGGGACCCATAGGTCATGTCTGGAACTGTCCCCATGCCCCAATGGATGTGGTCAGTGCAGCAGATGTAGGTGGGGTGGATATCTTACTACATATGGTATGTTGCCTAAAGTGTTAGCATGGTATGCCATGTAGCAAGAATACATGGGGTACCCTGTATTTCCTCGGAACATTTTGTTTTTCAAACTATTAACTACAGTCAGTGCCTGTTTCTTTCAAGATAATGCCTGGAACTTCTGATTTCTTAAATCATTAACCTGATAATCAAGACCTTCATTGTTTGGAGCAGGATAATCCCAGTTCTGATCCAAATGTGTGCCTGTGTGTTTCTGCACATCTGTCTCCTGTAGTCTGCATTATACTTTATAGAGGCTTTTTTTTCTTTTGTTTTTGTTTTGTTTTGTATTTTTTTGAGGCAGGGGTTTCTGTAATCCAGGTTGACCTTGAACTCCTGATCTTATTTATTTCCCTATTGATAGAAGAATAGGCATTAGCCAAGACACCTGGGGTTTTCAGTTTTGAGTTTGTTTTTTAGACAATTTTATACCATGTAGTGCTAGCTGTTCTCAAACTCACAACATTACTGCCTCAGACTCCCAAATTCTGGGATTCTGGGTGTGTACCAGCATGCCCAGATGATAGTTTCCATATTTTTGACTCTTCTAGAAAGCTCTTATGATTATTAACTATCTGCTTTTGGCCATTCTCTTTTATAAAGTGCTCTTCTGATAATTTGCTTGTATTTTAATTGGATTATCTCTTTCTTGCTAATTTGGAGTTGTTCTTTGCACATTCTGGATAATGTGCATGTTGAGAAAAACTATTTTTATGTATAGATACTACACATAGGTAATACAAAACATATGGCTGAAGATGTAGCTCAGTGATAAAGCAATTACCTAACATATGCAAGGTTCAACCTCTAACCCCACAAAATAGTAATTATCTGTTCATAGAGATAGTGTACAGAGAGATTAAGAGAATGAGAAGACAGTCACAGAGTAGGAGAAAACTGGAAACCTGTACACACCTATGCACACACAGACATGCACAATGACACATGCGTAGCATTCAAGATTCAAACCTGTTGCTGGAGAATATCCTATCAGCAGTCTTATAACTTCAAGACTATACATATGTGTGTGCACCTTCTCCTACTCTGTTTTCTGACTATACTCTCACTGTCAATGTCTATTGATCAATGTATGTCCTTAATCTAAAGGATGCATTTTAGAACTCCTTTGCAGTTAAGGTGTACTATACCTTGTTTAAGTTACCTTTGACTGACCAGAGGTCAGGTATAAGGGAAACATGAGTCTCTGGGAAGCTTTATTGTTCTCTTTTCCTTTTAAGCTGTATGTGGCACTCTGTGTTATGGTTCATTGATTTCCTTATTGATAATATAGTTGGCTTGTGTTTTGTTTAAAAGACCATTTTTCCCTTCTGTTCCTATATAGCTTGATTTTTTTTTCTTCACATTTTCCTTTGTGTTTTCTCCATGCAGACATCCAGTTTGACCAGTACCATTTGTTGAAGATGCTTTCTATTTTTTGATTGTGTATTTCTGGCGTCTTTGTCAGACATCAGGTGACCACGGGTGTGTGGATTTATGTCTGTGTCTTCACTTTGATTCCAGTGATCATCATGTCTTTTTATGTCAATACCATGTGGTTTTTATTACTGTGGTTCTGTGGTATGACTTGAAATCGAGGATGATAATACCTCTTGCAGCCCTAATCTTTCACTGTGTCTTTTTATCAGGGCATTGGGAGCATTGACATTAGGAGATATCTGTGACTAATGATGGTTAACTTATATTTGGGTGAAGGGATGTGTGCTTTGTGTGTGCTTGTTGTGTGTACTTGTTTTTCTGGCTTTCCTTAAGGAATGTATTAACTTGCTCTTTAAGGACCTCTATCATCTTCATACAGTTGGTTTTCATGTCTATTTTCTGTACTTCAGCTCTGTTGGAATATCCGGGGCCTGCTGTGATAGGATAGCTGTGCTCTAGTGGAGACATACGGTACTGGCTGTTACCATGTTCTCACGCTGGCCTCTAGGCATCTGGGTTTCAGGTGATTACAGGTCTAGATGCTCTGATTGCTGGGATTTTCTTTCTTGGGTGGTTATTTTGTTTCTTGGTTTGTTTCCTCTCTGGATTTTCATGGTGTGATGGCTGTGTGTTCCTGTTTTCCTGGCCTGCTCAGCTGATGTGGTCATGGGGAAAAGCCTGCTGGTGCTGGAGGCTGGGATTAAGTGATGAGTTAGGAGGAGGTAGGAAAGGATGGTGCCTGAGATCAGGAGACATGGGCAGCTGCAGCAGGCAAGGAGCCCTCAGCTGGTGATTTGTTGCAGAGCTAGGGAGGAGACAGGGATTGGATCTTGGGGAACAGAGAAGTCTTTGGCCAGCCTACCTGGTTTTCTGGCAGGCATGACCTGCATTTGAGCAGGGGGCATCTTCTTGCCTTGGGGGCTGGAATATAGCAATGAGTGGGGGAAGGGAAGCCAGGAGAGAATGGTCTGTGGGATCCATAGGAGATATGTGGGCATGGGGAAGGGAGGCTGCAGCTGGTGTTCTTTGCAGCACTAGGGATGGCCTGAGGCATTGGGTTTGGGGGAACAGAGATAGTGGAGGAGGTCTGTGGGCAGGCTCTGTATCCTATATTTTTATGTTACATTTTAAATCTATTCTTTGCTTTTTTCTCAAATATCACATTTTTTTTTTCTGTTGTACAAATTTGTTACGCATTCTTGGACAATTCTTTTGGTGGTTACTGGTATTTTTTAATAGGCAGAAGAAAATTTTTTCCCTGCTTTTTAAATTGTCATCAGTGGAAGATGTTTGGAAGCAAGCTGGTCTGCTTTTGCAAAATCAGATTCATTACAATTTAAACTTAAAAGAAACCTCAAATGGTTGGTAATATTGTTAAATAGTAAAACATTGGCCTACCACTTACAAGGCCCTGGGTTCAAGCCCCAGCACCACGTAAAAAAACAAAAACAAAAACAAAACAAAAAAATCCTCTAATCAATACCAACTTCCAGTTTCTCTTCTGTGGTTTAACACATATAGGTAGCCAGTGTGTTAGTGTTTGAAATAGAGCTTTTGCTATTTTCCATATTTCCTTCTCATATCACCTTTCTGTAGGAATTACAAACTTGGTGTGTCTGGCACAAACCTTTCAGAAGTCAATCTGTGCATGTCCACTCACCAAATATTTCACATATTAGTTAATCACTGGTTCCCAGGATCCACTCGAATTTATTTCCATTCAAGAATCAGACATAAAGTGTGTGTGCTCTGCTGTGTTTCATGGTGAGACAGTAAGCGGTGAATGTGTTCGTTGATTCACATGAAGATTGGCTTTTGAGGAAGTCTTAGAAGTTTCTTAGACACCTGATGTGTGTAGTAGGTGACACAAGTTATTATTTGACATAGTTGGTAATTTAACCCCTGCAAACTGGAGGATGGCTTGGGGGGAAAGTGCTTGCTGTGCAAACAGAAGGACCTGAGTTTGAATATCAAGTATTCACTTTAGAGCGTTATTGAGACCTGGCACAGTGAGATTCGGAGGGGTCCTGAAAGCTTGCTGGCCAGCCCGTCAGTTCAGTGAGAACCTGTCCGAAAAATTAAGGTCCCTGAGAGCAGTAGGCAAAGGAACAAAGCAGTACCTAAAGTTGAGCTCTGTGCTTCATTCATACCCACAACAGGTGAGGACACACATACCAAAAGAAAAACGGGAAATCTGAACAACTCCCCTGCTGTCTTTTTGATGTGATTGAAAACACACTGACTCAAGCTTTTTAAAAGTTATCATTGCCAGTTCCTACATGATTGTGGGAATTCTGGGTAGCTAAAATAAACAGCAGACATTTTATTCTAAAACCAAATAAGATACACATGCAACTCTACTTTGAATATTTTTGTTTAGTAGTTTAGCTTTATTGTTCTTATTGGCTTTATACAATATAAGTAGTTTATATATGTGCATTTATAAATATTACATAAATATAATGAAAATATTATAGGTTTGATCTTCAAAGATTTGTTCTGGTCAAATGCTCTTTTTTTGTTTAACATATTGCCTGGGTTTATATAAGATTAAATTGGGAAAAAATATGTTGCTACATAAAATTCCAAAATTGTTAGTACAGGTAAGCACCTGCATTTAGAAAAACAGGTTTGTGTACGTTGCACAAGTCATAGTCACAGTTAGTTGTCATCCAGCCCGACTCTTGGCTCTTAATCAAATTGATATAATTCAGGCCTGCTCATAGGCTGAGGCCCAGGCTAAGGGTGGAGCTGCCACCCTTCAACACCCTATAATTGTCATAACCTTGTGTTTTGTTAATCTGTCTCTTGCAGAACTGAGTTCCCACAGACTCTTAGGTAAGAGTTTCTTTCCTTCTCACTGCTCGGTGAAGGGAAGTGAAAGCTACCCAGGGAACAGGCATGGGAACCCCGCACCTCTCCATCCAGGTCTATTTTGCTTGGAGTGTCTTAGAACTGCAGTTGTGGCTTTTGTTTTCTGATTTTTATAGACTGAGTTTCTTATCTATACGAACTCTCACAACTCTTGAGATTACCCAAACTCCCAAGGTGTCATTTACTTGGAATTAAGTAGTTTAGAGTCAGATGTGTTTAATGACTGAATTCCCTTCTGGTGAAAGTGTTAAGTATGGCTAGCTAGTGGCTTTGAAGTCAGTGCCCTAATTTCATATTTTGTGTAAACCTCCATCGTATTTTGTTTCAGATGCATTGCAAATGTCACAAAACCTTCACAAATGTACTTACTGCGTTATGATTGTTCTGGAGAAGAGGGTATAGTGACATTTATTAATGATTTAAAATCAGTCTGTATAAAGAGATGAGAGACTAATTTAGTCAGTGTATTTTGTATCTGGAGTGTTCCCCATATCTTAAAGGTTTTTCACTTTTGTAAGCATTCTTGCTTAAGAAAAATCAAATAAGACTTTTGGCTAAATATAAAAGTTTAAATACTTGTGTTTATTCCTACCTAAATTCATAAAAATGACAGTAAAAGCTATATAGACATAAACAAAGGGAATGAAGGGATAACAGATCCCAAGACTAGACAAATAAAATCATAGAAGTTTTATGGGGAAAAGGGAGAGTTACAGGAAATTAGCAAAGCTTTCTTGATGGGGCTTGTGTGATCAGAACTGTAGTTTATCACTCCCTAATGCTGAGCCATTGTATAAGTGACTGCACAATGCTCCATCACAATTTGCTTTTAACTCCATTAATGGCCATGTGGGTCCTTCAGCACTTTGGCTACTGTAAACATACTCCTTGCATCAGTCTTATGGGAACATTTGTGTAATTTTTTGTTGTTGTTTATTTTAGAATTAATTCCTCAAAGTGCTGCAAAGTGGTTGCCTATTTAAGTATAGGTCCACGCTGTCAGATAATTTCCAGATGTGTGGAATTTCCCATTACACTGCCTCCTAACCAGTGTTGAATTTGCCTTAATTGAGATGGACTGCCTGGGGAAAGACCATTGAGTGCTTGTACTAAGTTTATAGCTTAGCCAGCTTCCTAATCAATGTCCACTCTACTGAAAGACTGTGGGCAGGGGAAGTGTGTGTGTGTGTGTGTGTGTGTGTGTGTGTGTGTGTGTGTGTGTGTGTGTGTCCTGTGCAGACATGAGGATCTGGGTTCAAATCTTCAACACCCACATCAGGTATAGCCAGAGTGCATATGTACAGCTTGCGACAGACAGTTCAGGGCCACGATGGAGAACAAAAGTCAAGCAGTTGGCTGTCTAGAGGAGGAAATGCAGAGCGGTCACTTGGGGTATTGCCCCAGTGCTGCTGGTACTGTATGAGGAGAGCTTAGATTAAAGGACATTAGTCAGTCCTCTGCTGGTGTAAGATGCACTCTGGAGACACCCAGCACCAGAGCAGTGCTTTCTGTTCTGAGCATCCTGGACCTTTTGGCTTTATTGTGGAGACTCGATGTTTAACAACATACCTGGTCTCTCTAATCACTCTATGCCAGGAGTTCTCGGTTCTACTAGTGAAAAATAGCTCCAGGTTTTGCTCCGTATCTTTTGGTGACAAAAATTCTCTCCTGTTGGAAAGCAGCTGCATCTGGGGGATTTCTCAGGCCTGAACGGCACAGGGGGAAAGAAGTGTGAGCTAGGGAGAGCCTGTAGGGGAAGCTTCCAGCTGGCTCTCCAGACACCTCCACCAAGGACTCAACATTGCCTCCCCTGACAAAGCAAACCATTCCAAAGATCAGGGTCAGAGCTGTGAATTCAGTGATGAGTGTGGAGCTAGAATTCAGAGGTGAGAGGCAACAAATGGGGTCTTGGATGGCAGCGGGAAGGCATCTCAGAAGTAATTGAAGATAACATGGTGCCCAGGGTGATAGAGAAGCAGTGGGTGCTAAGGACAGGACAGGGTAGCCTGGAGGATGGAGAGGGGCAGGCTGGCATGAAGGGACTAGAAGGACTGACACCTGGTGCCTATAGACAGGGAGAGTAGGGACAGCAAAGGCCTCGGGGTGGGGGTTGCATAAAGATTTCAGGGCCACCAGTTTGTATGAAGTTATTCAGAGAATCATGCACACTTGCTAACTTGTGTCCTAGGTGTTCTCTCTCTACTGCTCTCATAAATCAGTGCCACAGTGCTTCCATTACGCAAAGCAGTGTGCTTATAGAATTTGGACAGAAGAGAGTGACTAGAATGAGCGTAAAGGAACTCAGTGATTTTCCATCCTAGGAGAGCTGACCTTTTCCCCAGCCATTGCCGGGTGAAGGTTGAAGGTTGAGGGCCGTTCTCAGGTGAGGTAGTGAGCCATTAGGAAGCACCACACTTGGGGAGGGGGAAGTCATCCAGGGGCACCGAGGTTTCTAACTGAGGCAGCCACAGGGGGTGGGGGGTGGGGGTGGGAAGGGTGGGGGGTGCTAGTTTGTCTTTGACTCCTGCTCTATTTAGCCTTTTCCTTATTGACCATGTGACTGCCCTTTTCTCAGGAAACCCCTTGTGTTTGGTTTTACTATCCCCACTCAATCTTTCAATGCCCATAGCTGAGTATTCTTGTATCTCTGATGTGCCCTGTGGCATTCTCTTCTGAGCGTTTTTTGAAACACCCCCTTTTTATTCTCCAGTGCTGTCTTTGGTTCAAGGTCTTATATTTTACTGCCTGTTGTGGGGGATGGGAGGGGAAGGTTGAGACAGGGTCTCCTGTAATCCATGCTGGCCTCTATATAGCTGAAGAGGCTAGCCTTGAACTCATACCTCTGCCTTCTGAGGGCTGAGACCAGTCTGCACACCACCACTCCTGCCTTTTGCTTGCTTTTTGTTTTGTTTCTCACCACCCTTTACCTTTGTATTTAGAGATGGACTCAAAAGTTCAGGAAGAAATCCCTGTGCATGAGGAATTCTTTCTCTGTGGTGGAGTTGAAACCCAGATTATAAAATGTGGGCCCTGGACTAACCTCTTTGATGAACAAAGTATCACCAAGCCAAAACTACTTATCTTCATTATTCCTGGTAAGTGTAAAAGTCACAGACACTTAGAACCTCTGATTTCATAATTATTGTTGGCAAACTATGAAGGACCAGAGGGAAATTAAATTACTGCTTGTAGCAGCCACTGTTACTACTATGGGTGTGTGGCTTTTTCTTTACATCGGTATCTTTCATATTCACTATTATACAGAGATGCCTTGTACCACATGCAGTTTTATAATTTCTCTTGTAAATGTTTTTATATTTATACCTTTATCAAAGTTTAAAGGATTTTTTTTTTTTTTTGTTCTTGTTTGTTTTTTGTTTTTTTGAGACAGGGTTTCTCTGTGTAGCTTTGGAGCCTGTCCTGGAACTCGCTCTGTTGACCAGGCTGACTTTGAACTCACAGAGATCCATCTGCCTCTGCCTCCTAAGCGCTGGAACTAAAGACGTGTGCTGCCACCACCACCACCTGGCTCAAAGTTTAAATTTTTAACAACATTCTTTTACTTTATTTTAAGATGATTATTTGCTTAATACAGAGTTTTATTCTGGGGTTTTCTTCCTGGCCATTTGTGACTTTTTTCTGTCACTGTCAGAGATATATCTGATTGGGTGAAAGCAATAAACTTTGAAATTCTTCCTGGCGCACATGGCAAGACTCCCTGTTGGTAAGTCTTTGACATTATCTTTGCATTTATTTGGTTGCGCAAAAATGTTCACCATCATGAAACTGGTCAAAACTGTCTTTTCCCTTAAGATTATAAAAACTGCTCTGTGTGCTGTGTGCTTTCACTGTGCTGTTGAGAAGAACCCTTTAGGTTGGATGATGCCTGTCCCCCCTCTGTCCTTAGATGTTCCCTAAGTGGCTCAGACCACTCATTAGATTGGCACTGCTGTCTTTGCTCTTCTGGTCTACAGTGCTGTTTTTACAGAAAGCAGATTCTTCTGCAGCTGAGTCTGTGTCCTCTGCCTCTGTGTGCTTTTCCTCTGTCTTCCTGTTTGTAGAACACCTTGACAGCTAGGACTCGTCCTTGTCACTGTTTCTTATCCAGGGTACCTTTTGCCATTTCTTCATTTGCCTTTATAGTATTTTTTTCTATTAAAACAAATTATTTCTTTTAAAAAGTTTTTCACTTTTATTTAATTTAGAAGCAGTCTTATTTTACATGTCAAGCCCAGTTCCCTCTCTTTCCCATCCTCCCATGCTCCCCACCAACCCCCCCATCCCCACTCTCCAGAAAGCGTGAGTCCTTCCATGGGGGGATCATCAAAGTCTATCACATCATTTGGGGCAGGCCCTAGGCCCTCCCCTGTGTATCTGGGCTGAGAGGTAACCCTCCATGGGAAATGGGCTCCCAGAGTCCATTTGTGCACTAGGGATAGATACTGGCTCCACTGTTACAGGTCCCATAGATTGCCCAGGCCTCCTAACTGACACCCACATTCAGGAGGCTTGGTTCGGTCCAATGCTGGTTCCCCAGTCTGTGAGCTCCCCCTTGGTCTGGTCAGCTGTTTCTCTGTACCTGGTCTGCACTGACTGTGCTCCAGGCTCCTCCTCCATTGACCTTTGAATTTCTGTTCCTCTCTGCCAGGTTAGATCCCATGTTGCACTCTCTTGCTTTTGGTGAAGCATGTTATTTCGTTATTTCTTGAGTAGTGAAGGGGAAGTGACCTTGTAAATGATGCAGCCCATTAGAAACTTCTATAAGGCTGGGTGTAGGTGTGGTGTTTGGAGTATGTACAAGGCCCTGGGCTTGATCCTATCACTGAAAAAGGAAGAAAGAAGAGTCACTGTCCTAGACTTCTAGCTTGGAAATAATTTTTTCCTTGGAATTCAGAGCCAATGATCCCCCTTTTTAAAATTAATTAATTAATTATGCTTTTTCCAAGATGTGGTTTCACTGTGTGGCCTTGGCTGTCCTGGAACTCACAAAGCTTCTCCTGCTTCTTCGTCCTAAGTGCTGGGATCAAAGGCATGCTTCTCCCATCCCCAGGGTTTGCAGTTGCCTGTGAGAAATTCTGGTGTCACTCTGATCTCATCTCTTGTGTATGTCAAGTGTCCCCCACATCACATCTTGGAGACTTCTTCATTTTATTCTAAGAATTTGGAATTTTACATTGAAGTATGGTTGGCATTTTGTACATTGCATGTGGGTTAAGACAGAGACTGTTCTGCCTAAGGCCTTGTATGATTGCCAAGCACTACCACTAAGCCTTTGGTTTGGTGTGTAATTTGAGCTGGCTTCAAATTCCGCTGTGCTCGTCTAACCTCTCGTCTAACCTCTTCCCAGGGTGGAACTTCCATGCTCTTCTGTGTTAAGATTCCTGACCTAACACTCCTCTTCAGCTTAACCTTTTCTAGAAATAAACTTACACTCTTCCAGGATTTAATATTCTTCTTGAAAATCGGTCTGGGAACATGAGTTAAAATGAAAAGTAGACATATTCTGCCTGTAGTGAGAGTTTGAACTTGTAGGCATAGTGGGTGCTACTCTATGTAGCTGGGATCTGGTGGGGATGGGATATAGAAAATAAGTAGACTAGTAGCCTGCACTGGAGGCAGGGTATAGTCCCGCAGCTGGAAGGAAGGAAAGAAGGAAACTAAACTAAAATGCACAAGTGCGAAAGGATTTAAGAAGAGAGTGAAAATGTCCCTGCCTGGCCCCTGTGGCTGTCTCTGTTAGAGGTCACAGTCCTTTTCTTAGGGAGCCGCCAGTGGAGGAAGAGGAGGAGACTCCTTGAGGACAACAGATGACCCGTCATCAGAATTGTTGTACCTAAATAGTGTTGTTATTATTTTTAGAGTTTGTTTAGCATTGATTGTAACAGTAATTGTAATAGCTACCATTTACTAAGTGCCCACTATATGCCAAGTGCTGTATAAATGGCTCTTTATTTACTTAAGCTCTGCCTCCATTATAGATGTTTTGTAAGACTAACTATAACCAGGCACACAGAGGATCCTACAGTAGGATGTTGCCTTAGTTAGTTTCTGTTGCTGTGATAAAACACCATGGCTAAAAACAAGTTGGGGGGGGGTTGTCATTTCATCTCATAGCTTTATCTTCCATCATCCAGGGAAGTTGAGGTAGGAACTCAAGGCAGGAACTGATGCAGAGGCTGTGGAGGAGTGCTGCATACTTGCTTGACCCCCTTTGCTTGTTCAGACTGCTTTCTTATAGCACCCAGAACCACCATCCCAGCGGTGGCACCGCCCTCATTGAGCTAGTCCCTCCCATATCCATCACCAATCAAGAAAATATATCACAGGTGTGACCACAGGCCTGTCTGGTGGGAGCATTTTCTCAATTTTGATTCCCTCTTCCCATATAACTGTAAAAGTTGCACAACCTATTTTTCTCATTGCTGCATCAAATGAAGACTAAGCACGATAGAATGTGTAAGGCGCTGACAGCAGGAAAGAACTTAAGATATTCCGAGGGCTTCCTAGTGATGCTTCCAGCTATATGTTAAATGACATAAAGATGTGACTGTGGCATAGAAAGTACTCCAGGAAGGCTATTGTCTCAGTTACGGTTTCTAGTATTGTGAAGAGACACCATGACCACAGCAACTCTTACAAAGAAAACATTTAATTGGGACTGACCTCATTTTTGGAGGTTTAATCCATTATCATCATGACAGGACATGGTGGCCTGCAGGCAGACATGGTGCTGGAGAAGGAGTTGAGAGTGTTGCATCTTCATATGCAGGCAACAGGAATTGAACTCTCTGTTACACTGAGCATAGCTTGAGCGAAGGAGACCTCAAGGCCCACACCCACAGTGACATACTTCCTTCTACAGGGACACACCTTCCCTAGCAAAGCCACACCTTCAATAGTGCCCCTCTCTATGGAAGCATTTTCTTTCAAAACACCACAGCTATACTCAGCAAAATCTCAGATCTTTCTAAAGTAATATATAAATTAATTATAATTTCAATCATAATCCCAGGGAAATTTTTAGGAGTGAAACTAAGTTTGAGACCACTCTAGAAAGTTTTAAATAAAGAGAAAGGATTTTCCCTACTAGTTACTAAAACATGATCATGCACACCTGTCTCTCTCTCTCTCTCTCTCTTTGTGTAAGTGCTTAAGTGTGTAAGATGGGATCTTTTAGCAAAAAAAAAAAAAAAGTTAAATAAGCTGAATTATTTGATTAAAAAATAACAAGTTGTAGAAAGTTAGTGTTGAATCAGAAGACACTTGAGATTAGTATGTGTGTGGGGGGTAGTGCTTTCCATAATTGATGGTTTCATGGACCAGCCTGTTTGAATCTGAATGTATATGCTGTTTTGTGCTTAATGCTTAGCATTCACATTCTGTAGATTTGCATTTATAAAATGAGGAAGATCCATTCACAGGCACTATGGATTCTCATCTTCTGTTGCTATCCCCACCTCCCTTCCCTCTTCTTCAAGAGCACATCACTGCCCTTGAGAAAGTTTTCATGTCACTCAGCAAAGTTGTCAGTTAGCGCCACCATAAGATGGCTTAGAGCTTAAAGCCCTTGGTCAGAATGCTGCAGGAGCAAGATAACAGTATGGATGATAAGCCATTACAAGGTACCATGATGGGTTCAAGGCTGTGCGTATGGAATAGTTAACATCTACATACCTATTACTGTGTTTCAAGTAGTGTTGAAATATGCTATACTTCTATAAATTCACTTAGCGCCATGTACATTTGTATATTATCCCATTTCATGGACAAGAAGTCAAATCACAGAGAGAATTAATAACTTGGCAAACCTCATAGTTCATAGGGAAAGTCAGGGGTACAGCCCAGGCAGCCTACATTCTCAGCCACTTTACTGTGCTACCTGTTTAGGGAACTGTAAGATGTGGACATTATGTGAATGACAATCGTGATTTATATACCAGTGCCACAGACCATGGTCAGCTAGAGAAAAATCTTACAGCATGAGGAAATAAATAAATTTAAAAAAATGGGTATTGGGAAAAGTAGATATCTGCAGAAAGGACTACAATGAAGAATGTATACAGATGACTTTAAGCTAAAACCCTCAACATTATTGTCTTTCCCCCTACAGATGTATCATATTGATTGTTCTGTTTCTCTTTACCAAATCCATGTCAAAAATGCCTTCTGTATACACACAAGAAAAATCATTTGTAATATATATGCCCATCAATTATTGATTTCACACACACACACACACAGGCACACACACATGCACACACAAATACTTGAGATGGCAAGATAACACCAAGTTTCCTAAGACTTTAATATTGTTTGTTTGTTTGTTGTTATTCTTTTGTTTGAGTTTTAGTACAGCTTAATAACTGTTGTGGTCAGACCTTGAAATGCCATAGAGACATATTAGTGGTTTGGGGTTTTATCCTGGTAACAATGAGAAGTCACATAAGGGTGATTTAAAAAAGATACTTCTATATTTTTGTTTGTAGCTTGAAGATCTTCTTATGACACCTAAATGTTACTGGATTTGTAGAGAATGCTGTAAGAAAACTCAGAGACACCTTGCATGGGTCTGTTGTCTTTCTAATCTAAAGTCTTTCTTCTCTTAGGTAACCCAGGCTTTTCTCCCTTTTACTTGCCATTTGCAAAGAGCTTATATTCTTTGACGAAAGGCCGCTTCCCAGTCTGGATGATCTCTCATGCTGGGTTTGCCATGGCACCCAAAGATAAGATTCTTGCAGCACCAGATGGTATGTCCTTGGTAATTAAACTTGTTTTGATTGACAGTAAAGTGGTCATCATGTTTCTAGAAAACCTACTGGCATTCATATTTCATAAGTAATCACTTCTGTTTGTGGTTTTAGACCTCAGGTGCCATATTTGTTTAATTTTAGAGATAGTTTGTCTGTTACTAAAATAGGTCAACCCTGAGTTGCTGATTCAGTAGATGTGGGACACCACATGGGAATCTGTATTTCTAACAGTTGCCAGCAGTGTTCATGTTGCTGGTCCTTGGACCCTTCAAGAGCTTGCTTGACCATGGAATTTTCCGCACTACATACTAGTGCCGCAAACCAGTGAAAGGTGTATGTCGTGAGTCAGAATCTCTAGAAAGTGTGTTTAATTTGTGTCTTAAATTGATGTTTGCTTATTTATGACTTTACTTGAGTGCTTTTTGTTTGGATTGCTTCTAGACTTACTAATGTGTTAATAACTTAGCAATTAGACTGAGCTCTTTGTTACCTAATGAGAACAGTGCCATCTAGAGGCATTAGCCCAGGGTCAACTGACTCTGGTAGAGGGATCAAAGGGCAGTTTATCATCCCCAAGGATTTGTGATCAACTAGACAATGATATGTAGTACTGAAGGAGAATTAAATAGAGATGCCCACCTCTGCCTTCTGAGTCCAAAAGTTCCTCTTTCTCTTCTGCAAGATTCCCTGAGCTCCAAGGGGAGGGAACTGATGGAGTCCTCCAACCTGTGCTTTCTCTCCACCTAATGTTTGATTGTGGGTCTCTGCATCCACTCTGAACAGCTGCCAGAGCAGTCTTTCTAGTGATGACTGGACCTGGCACTGGTAGCATGTCATTAGGGATCATTTCATTGATTTTTTTTTTTCTCTCCTGCCATTTGTGTTCAGTTCTACCCTAGGTCTCTGGGCTATTCAGCCTCTCTGGTTCCTGTCCTGGTCATCCAGACATGTACTCCCCTTCTCATCATGGGCTTCAAATTAAATAAGTCTAATCACTGGTTGGCCAGTTCCACAAATTCTGAGTCACCATTGCCCCAATATACTTTGCAGACAGGACAGATTATAGGATAAAGGTTTTGTGACTGGGTTGCTGTCCCAGTCCCACCCTTGGAAGCCTTGAATGTTTACAGAAGATACATTCAGGCTCCAGATCCTCATTACCAGGAGCACTAGCTAGGGGCACCATCATAGATTCCAAGGAGTTTCCACTGTACTAGGTCTCCATATTGCCCCCAACTAACTTCCATTTCCAGCCATCTCTCCCAATATTATCTCCCTGCATCCCCCTCTACCTGACCTGATCTCTCCTGTTCCCTTTGTCACCTGCCCCTAGTCCACCTGCAAGATCTATTGTACTTCCCCTCCCCAGGGAGATCCATGTGTCTGCCCTGCCCCCCCCCCCCAGAGCCCTTCTTGATACTTAGCATCTATGGGTCTGTGGGTTGTAGCATGATTTTCCTTTATTTAACAGCTAATGTCCACTTACTAGTGAGTACATACCTTGTTTGTGTTTTTGGGTCATTGAGCTTAAGCAAGTGTAGTTTTTAATTAGGTCTTGAAGAGGCTAGAAAAAGAGTTGGGACAGAAAAGCCTATTCAGGTCATGACTGTATGAGTTAAAATTGAGGTTTACATAAGTCATTAAGTTCTTTAAATATACACAGATTATTCAACATAGTCAAGCAGTATCATGTGTTTTCTTAGTTCACTGGATATGAGTCAGCTTAACACAATGGTTCCCAGTATGTACTCCTAGACTCAGCAGGTCTGCAACTCCTGGAAACTTAGAGAGGAGAACTCTTGGACCTCTACCCAGATGTACTATGTCAGGAACTCTGGGGTCAGGGCCCAGCTGTCTTTTAACAGGCCCTCCTGGGTATTCATTACATGGTCAAGTTCAAGAACCACCAGCCTCAACTAATAGGAGTTCATGGAATAGTTGAAAGTTCGTGGGCTTTGAGAATGGACCTGCATCTGAATCTCTGCTCCCCTACTTCATAAGTCTACAGCTGCCAGTCTTCTCATAAAATCTATGAGTTGTGATGTTTCAGATAATGCGGCCATCCACTTCTGTGGTGAGGGTGGATTTCTGTAATTTAAGTGTCTAATACTGCAGCTAGTGTGTTACAGGCTTAGGGAAATGGTAAGGTTTAACTCTTATTGCTTTAAGTCTGGGCATTTTTTTTTGTAGGTATTATTTGACTTAAATAAGCTTTTTTAGTTATTAATTACAGCATATTCATACTTTCTATTTAGAGACAAATGCTCAGGAAATTGAGGACGTCTATGGTCTGAATGGTCAAATAGAACACAAACTGGCCTTTCTGAGAGCTCATGTTCCAAAGGATGTGAAGCTGATACTCATTGGCCATTCCATAGGCTGCTATATTTCTCTTCGGCTCATGAAGCATGTTCCTGAGCTGCCCGTGAGTATGCCTTAGAAGATGACGATGGGTACCTGATTGTGCACTTGCAGAAACCCTCCTGTTTCCTTTGCTGTTTTGTAGGCAGAGGGAGGAGTGCAGGTGGCTGCCTTTTTCTTTGTGTTTTTATTTCCAAAGACCTGTGCCTAAGAAATTCTGTAATGTTCCAGTGAATAACAGTGGGAGAGATAGAGATTTTTCCAAATGCATGACTTGGGATCTAGGGTTCTCTGGCACTCTAGAGTTATTTTTGACTTGCTCTCACTTATAAAACAATATTTAAGAACAGTTACTGACAGTGGCATGGAACAGACTCTGTCTTTATTGAGAGAGTGTTTTGATAGTATCAGTGTACTGGAGAGATGGCTCAGGGGTTAAGAGCACTGACTGCTTTTCTAGAGGAGCTAAGTGTGAGTCTCATCACCCAAGGTGGTTCACACCCTCCTGTAAGTACAGTTAGGGATCCTATGCCCTTGCAAGCCTCCACAGGCCCTGCATGCAGATGGTACACTGATAGACTGCAGACAAACACCCAGAAAACAAAGTCAGAATGCATACATCTCCCAAAGATTGAAATAAGATTTTCCTGTCTCTTTTAAGAAGCAAAAGAGTGTGTCCTTGTCATCGTCATTGAGAGGTAAATGCATCTTTGTGGAACATGCTGAGTGATCATAGGTTTCTATTCTTGTATGGTGTGTAGTTGGCTGGTCCTTCTGAGACACAGATGCATCCTTTCTTCACAAATACTTTCTGTTTGTCTGTCTTTATGTTTGTTGTTATGGTGTTGGGGATGGATTCAGGACCTAGTGCATGATAGACCAGCACTATTCCACTGAGCTGGACCCACAGCCTCATAAACTAGACACATAGTGAGGCGTTGAAGTCACAGAGTCCAACTTAAAGTGACCACAAAAGGGAGCAAACTCTTTAAGAGCCTAAAGAGTGAGCTTGAACTCATGGATCAAGAAATGACCTGTGGAGTGGGTAGGATTTACAAGATAATTTATGTCTTCATTTGGTACACATGTGTACAAAACCACTTTTGTGCATCTCAAGGACAAACCAGGGGACAACACATGTTTCTGAGCTAAGGGCCTGGAGTCTCATGGATGAGACAGCTAAACAAGAGGAAGCACTATCCCTTCCCAGCAGCCCTGTCCATGAATTTGTTCCCTCCATGTGAGAAAATATCTCCAGCAGGGTCTTGGACCCACTAGGAATTTGACTCCTTTCCTGCCAGCTTGCTACATTCAGTGCTCAAACCAGCACTTGGAAAGAGTAAAACTATAGTCTCCCTGTTTTTAATACCAAAATGATTTTAATTTTCTCCTCTTGGAAATAAGAAAATACATTTTTATGTCTAAGTGTGAACTCAATAAATAGAAGATTATACTCTATTCATTGACTTCCTATTCTACTCAGCTATGGTTTTATCCTCCTAGATAAGGCATTTAGTTTGGAATGCAGCTTTCCCTTTGATGCCAGCCTTGGTGTGACTGACAACATCTTTCCTGTCCTTGAGATTCCTCTCACAATATATGTGGCTGCCATCTTTCTAGTGCACAGCCTACATGTAAGCTTCTAGTCACAGTCCCTGTGGGTTCTGGCTCTCACTGGTCACTTAGGCTTAAATATGTTTGGTTATTTTTCTGTCATTGAGTCTGGCCTCCATCAACAAATTGGAAGTAATTATATGTTCTTCAAGGATTTTGTGAGGAATTATGCAAACTATTAAGAGTGTTGCCTGGTATTCTAAAGTTCTGAGTACACATTACCTATTATTGTTGTTATGGAAATAACACTAGACTCATCTCAATCATTAGGTTAACTACTGTATTGGTTACCTACTGCTATGTATCAAATTCCCCAGACTAGTAGTGTAAAACAGTATTTATTTAGCATCTCAGTTTCTGGGCAGAAATCTGATCACAGCTTAACTAGGTCACAGACTGCAGAGCTTTCACTAGGTAGCAATCTTGTTTCTTCCCAGGATTGCAGTCTCCTGTGAACACTTGAATTAGGATGGAGAGATGGGAAAGGGTGGAAAGAGCTGGAGGAGGAAGTCAGAACCAGGAGCATAAGACAATGCATTTGTAAAGATAATGGTTAGAGTTTCAGAGAGCTGTGAAACTGTAGTTCCTCTTCTTTATGGGGCTGGAGAGATGGCTCATTGAATTAAGTGCCTGCTCCACAGGCATGAAGACCTTAGTTTGGATCTTCCATACCTACATAAAGCCCCAGCAGAGAAGGTAGATTACTGGAGCTTGCTATCACACCAACCTCAACAAATCATTGAGCTCCAGACTCAATGACAGTGTCTCAGAACCTAAGATGGAACACAGTTGAGGAAGACACCAACATCAATGTTTGTCCTCAACATGTACTTGTATACACATGCACACACATACATGCCCATATCTACACATACTTATGCTGCATACATGCAGTAGAAGAGACACACATGCTAGAGAATAATGTGTGTGACTGTACATACAAGGCACCTTTGGGGGAGGAAAAGGAGTCGTGTCTGCAGTTTTGTGTTTTCATTATTTAAGGACTTTATCTGAGGCTAGAATGCTTGTAGTTCTTGCAGAGGATTTGGGTTCAATTCCCAGAACTTCCATGGTAGATTCAGCAATCTGCACTTGGTAGGCACCAGGCAAATGTGTGGTATACATACATACCTATAGGCAGGCAAGCACTCATACAAATAAATAGACTTCTTTTTTTTTTTTTTTTTTTTTTTTTTTTAAGCTTTAGTTTCAATTATCTGCATTGTTGAAATTCCCTAGCACTCACTACATCCTGCCTCCCAACCATTAAACACCTGGGCCTGTTAATCTGGTGGTGTGATCCATGCTGACATGTTGAAATTTCACTGTCTCTAAGACAGCACAAAGCTTGCATGCCTGAAGTTCACATGACATGCTCCATTTGAGATGCACTTGACAATGGAGTGAATTTGTGGAAGCCAGAGTGTTGCAATCCTAATCATTTTGCCAAAAATAAGTGAGCTGTTATGTTTTTATAACATATGAAGTGTGATAATAAGAAACTTGTGTTTCCATCTCCTCTGTTACTTTTACTGGAAATTTTGATCCCATTAAGAGTTTGAGGGCATATTTGCAGTGGACTAGCTGGTTTGTTTGGTTTGCTTTGATTGAGCTCTCTGAAATATTTTTAATTATCGACAACTTTGTTTTTAAATCATTTGAAGAGACTTACTGCATAATGCCATATAATACTGTGTGACTTGTAATTTCATAAATTGCAAAATAATTGCCACTTTTAAAATCTGGAATCAAATTTTTCTGATTGCGTTTCTTGTATAGAAATATAGAAATAGTAGCTGATCAGATATTTTGAAAATGTTATTCAGAATGGTTATTTTTTTCTTTAAAGAATTAATGGAAGACTGATAAGTAGTGGTTTCCCTGACTTACCATGATAAACACAATTGTTTTTATTTATATTTTTTACACACAATTGTTTTTATATCCATAAGATCTTAGAGTGGAGATGAGCTTAATTAACAGTCATCTTCATTTTATATGTGATAAGTAAGAGAAACGGACCTGGTGAGGACTCAGCCTCATTTGGAGCGGAATCTTCAAATGGCATGCCCTTCTGTTGGCTATGTTTATAGAGAGGGTCCTTCAGCCTTTGGGTGATGGACTGTGGTGTGGGCCTACAGTGTGCATGACTACATTGATGGTAGCTAAAGGGATGGAGGCCTGCAGGTGCTCTGGAAGTTATGGGTAGCAATTTTTCCCTATTACCTAGACCTTGCTTTCTCAGGAGCAGCCCATTGCATGTTATGATGTTGCTTTCCAGTTGGACATCTCCATAAAGTCAAGATTAGGACCTGACCAGTCTATAGATGGAATTTTGAGGTGTTTTTAAGTAATTTCATATTTGGTGGTAGCATCCTCTGGGATGTAGCAGAAACTTCACAAATTTGTCTTGTGATATTTGCATTCCCTGGGGAAAGTGCATGATAGCTGACATCTGGCTTTTTCTGAACAGAATAAGTCTCTTTTAGAGCAGATAGCTTCAAATACATGATGTACAACATGCTTGGACTGGCCCTGTCAAGTCAGGAAAGCAGTGAGAACCACAGGGGCTGTGTTGTGTTCTGTTCATTAGTTAGGCTAACACAGGGACGGAAGAGGAGATGAGTCGTGTGTTTTAGGAGCTGTCGCAAAAACCCTGTCCCCAGATCTACTGATCACAAGTAAAGGAGGAAAGAACTGTATGGAAGGTAGAGCATTCTTCCTTTCCAGAACATCAAAACTGGAGTTTCTGAACAGAGCTCTCTCCCATGGCAGAGATTTGAACATGCATCTAGAAGAATTTCTCCCATGAGATTGAAAATGGGCATCACTGTGCAAGGTATGCAGTGAAACATGGTGGAAAAGAAAGAATTTGTGTTTGTCTCTGGGCCCCTGAAGACAGTAATAGCAGGCAGAATGTCCACTTGGCTTTGCAGTGTGATGCACTAAAGAGGTTGTTAGCTCCTGGACTAGTAGTGGGGGATAGACAAATATAGGTTGTCTAGAAGCCACTGAGGGCTCATGGGTCATGTCATACCTCATTTCTCAGTGACAGATAGGAAACAGGAAAGAAAATGCAGTGAAAGGCAAGCGAGCAGGGGATAGGCCTGTTTCCCAGTCCCAGATAACAACACTAAGTGCACTATACAGAGTATAATTCTTGGTGGAGATTAAAATAAAGAGGGTATGTATGTGTGTATACCAGAGGAATTGCTTCATTTGTTGTAGAAGGAAGAAAGATTGAAAGATGCAGAAAATACATTTGTCTCCAAGAGTGTCTCCCACAGTCCATAGGCATACCCTGTGATGTTGCAGTGGGTTGCTATTGTGGATGGGTAAAGCTCTAGGCTGTGCCAGTTGCACAGGCATAGGGCAGAAGCCCAAGTAAGAAGGCTTGTTTTCTGATTGTAATTCAATCCTCTGAGGATGGGCTGTCCCTATGTGGTTCTC